ATCGGTGAACGAAACTGCGGCAGCTACAACCACTGTACGACGAGTACGCGGTTCTTACAGCTGACAATGATGATGATGATGATGTTTAGTGTTAAGGCAGCTTGGGCTTTATTCCAACACATCTTAGACATGATGCTGAGGGATGCCTCTGGTGTAGCCTACTAGTTTGACGATATCGTTGTCAGTGGTTAGAGCGCGAATTTACTGATCGGAAGGTCCGTGGTTCGAACCCCACCTCTGCCTCTCGGCTTCCCCTGTCTAGGTTTGGGCAACCTGGCAGTATCCCAGCTCTCGTGCTTCCTTTGGGTGGCATGGCAGCTAGGCACCGAAAAAGTGCTTCAGCTGGACGATTTTTTCATATATTCCTACTCCGACTATCGTCATTATCACTAGAAGCAGCAACGGCTATATAAACCACGTATTTGCCGTACAGTGGTTCCATCGGTCACAGCTTTTTCCACCGATAATGTGCAGAGGTGAGGTAAATAGCTGCGCCTTGGACGCGGTAGACCATATAATTGATGTCAAAATACAGGATTGTCAGGGGACTTGCCATTGGAGAGATTGGGAGGGGAGCTATGCATTTAAGGCAATGAATTGGATGCGTGAGCGCCATTGATGACAAAATCTGTTGCCATTGATTTGTCCCGTTTTCGGGTCTTCACGCAGGGAAACGAAAGTCACCAGCGCAGCTGAATTTGATTGTAATGGATTTCGCAATTCGCTGCCAAGTCATTGTTTTACCTCCCCTGGATTGTTTCCATCGTTCGCGTGGTTGCGGGAAAAGGGGAGTTCAAGGGGGGTCAGTCAACAGGTATTAGAAGCACTTGACCAAGCGAGCGCAGTTTGTGGAGTGTGATCGGCTCATCTGTTTTGAGCAGGTTATTTCTTCCGAAGAATATGCGACGTATTTGAGCGTTACGGATCCGATGTTCCCACCATACTCGAACAATGTTCCGAAGACATCGATGGTCGAGCGTCAGAACTACAGTCCATTGGTGCATTTGGCAACACTACAAACAAGCACCGCTTTTATGGTAAGAGGTAATAGTGTTTTCTTTATAGGCCCTGCGCGGAGCCGATGACTCAGTATTTTGATCTTATCGGCTGCAGGGTGCTGGCCTGGCCCGAGGACGCAGGGAGTAAGACATTACTGTCTCATTCCTAGCGCAGCTGCGCACAACAGGTGCCTTTTGAGTAGCACCGGACTACTTAGTTCTAAAAGTATTTCGACCGTATTGAATAATGCGCCATCGATCGCATTCAACCGTCGGGCGGTCGCAGTATGCGGTCTTTAGGGCCGACCCTTTCTAACCCGTCCGTCCTCTGGGGAAGGTGGCATCGCTGCTTCCATAAAAATGGATATGCTGGTTGTCTGGGGGAAGCATCTTGCTGCTTTTACATTCCTATCGCAAAGAATAGGACGACCTTACCTGAAGACCGCCTAGTAATACGATTACTCGCAGCACGGGCACTTGCTGTTCTTCGTTGGAGTACTCCCCGTTGGCCTTCCTGGCATGGTTGAACCTTAAGGAACTGAGTTCCAGCCGCTCTAGCCTGCAGGGCCATTGTGGCACAGAAGCCAGATCACCGCGATAAATTGACTGCTTTGGGTCGGGAGCCCGACCACCACAGGGTAGTAGATTTCATCGTTGTCAGCTGTAATAACCGCGTACTTGTCGTACAGTGGTTGTAGCTGCCCCAGTTTCGTTCACCGATGATTTAGGGGTGGGGTGTGTGGTAAGTTGCCATTGATTGGATGCGAGAGCTGATAAATTGATGTGTAAATACAGCACTGTCAGTGGACCGTTAAGTGGAGGAATTGGGAATGGAGCAATGTGTTGAAGGCAATAGCTTGGATTCATGAGCGCAAGTGGGCGCGACTGGGCCATGTCTGACAATTTTTCTGAACAATGGTGTGGCCCGTCTCGGGTTCCTCATCCAAGAAGACGGTAATGACCAGCGCAGCTGGGTTTGCTGGTAGATTAAAGTCAGGATGCCGGCGATCTGGGGGAATGGAGCTGGATTGCTACGCTCCGAAGGTGATATCTGATATTATGGATGGTTAACTACAGTACAATAAATAAATACTGGACCATGCCTTTCCTTCTTGGGATCCTCATCCAGGGAGATGTGAGTGACCAGCATAGCCGAGTTTTCTGGAAATGACTTTCATACTTCACTGCCAAGCCAATGATTAACCTCCCTTGACTCATTTCCACCCATCGTGTGGTCATCATCATTGACAGCATGACACCAGTGTTCAACACCGATGCTTCACTGCCATACAACCCTGATTAATTTGAAAGCTTTATTGTTAATGAAAGAATAAAGGTTGACGTGGAATGGACCTAGTGCTCGCTTACTGCAATCATTCCTAGATGCCTACACCTCCAGACATTCACTCTGGATAGAAACTGACAAGAAGAACGCCACTGACATCGGTTGGCAGCCATATCTTGTAGTGTTTCCAACCAGGCACAGGGGGGATCAGGCGGTTCCCATCCTGGAAGTCGAGTAGCACCGACAGCCCCCAAACGTTTCCTAATATCATTCATACTTATCTGCCAAGTCAAGGGTAGGTCATCTCACTGCTTACGCCACTTTGAGTTAGGCATGGAAAACGATGGTTCGACATACGCAGCACATCCCAACCAACGCAGCTACTGGTGCTGAACGCATTCTTCAATGAAAGTACCTGTTGCACAACCGAAAACTCGCTTCCTAATTGCCTCGTTACGGATGCGCCAACACCAACCCACACGAGCTATGGTTCTGAGAAAACGATTGTCAGACTCCTGAAGACGTCTCAGCCCCGCTGCTCGAATAAGCCAAGTCTCACAGCCATACAACAAAATAGCCTGTACTGTAGCTTGATACACACGTCTCTTGAGATTCAGGGATACGCCACTCTGACGCCATAGGTGTCTCAAATTAGCAAACGCTACCCGAGCCTTGCAGATTCGTGCATTTACCTTATCTGTCGCACTACAATCACATCTAATACAACTTCCAAGATACGTCAAACGCTCCACAACTTCCAGTAAGGGGCGTGTTCAGTGACTGCACGTCCACAAGCATGACCTTACACTTTGTTGGTGCAAAGTGCATACCAAAGGACGGGATGACTTTGGTCAGTTCATCCAAAAACACCTGCGCCTTCTCCGCCTCTTCGAACATGAGAACGATGTCGTCTGCATATTCCAGATCGACAAGGTTTTCTTCACAGGCTATTTGAACACCAGGGTTTTGGAGACCCTCCAGCGTTCGTCTCATGAGCTCATCGGTCACGAAGTTAAAATGGAATGGAGAGTGGGCATCCCTGACGGACAACGCTTTGTATACGGAAGCTTTTGGAGAGCTCTCCATATACATCCACCCATCCGGAATCCTGAGAATACAAAGAACGTATGATGTTCACAAACATCCGGAACATTCCTTGTGGGAAAGCGTGTCAAGAAGCACAGGGCGGTCAACCGAGTCGAATGCGCCTTGGAAATCCAGGAATACTAGAATTTTGAGTCACTTATACGTATGGCGTTGTTTTAGCACCCGACGGAGTGTGACAGAATTCCGCTAGCTTCTCTCGAGTCAGTGTCTCCCGAGCCACCCTAAGGTGACGAAGCACGATTGACGCCAACAGCCTCATTACGACCGGGGTCAAGCTGACCCCCTTGTGGTTACCATACACCGTATGGTTGTGCGAGAAGCGCTGTTTGAGGACGGTGGACTAGAGTACGGAGCATGCAATCAAGCCAGTGTTATCGATTTGTCTATCAGGTTATTTGCAGGTTATTCCTGCAAATCATTTGAAGCACTTCAGCACTACAAACTAGTTGCTCTCAGAAGACTCAAGCAGAGCTTCGAAGACGCGTCTGTCTCAGTGGTTAGAGCGCGAATTTACTGACCAGAAGGTCCGTGGTTTGAACCCGAACTCTGCAGCCCGACTCGTGCTGTCTGAGCTTGGGCAACCTGTTAGTATCTCAGCTGTAGTGCCTCCCCGAGTCATACGGCAGCAATGTACCAAAATAAATATTCGACTATTCAGGTGGTCTGGGAGCTAGGCGCCCAAAGGGTGTTATAGCTGAATACTTATCTTATTTAACTGTTTTATTTTTGGTTCTTCAGCTCGCAAACCGTGCATCGAAATATAGTGGTTCCTGCTGTTACGGCCTCGTTCACCGAGGATAGGGAGAATAAGAGATTGAAATCCACGCTATGGAGGCGACGGCCCAATCAGTTCATTGATATCGAATAGTTTTGTTTCTCCGGTGTGGCAAACATTGACAAATACGCAGTGAAAGCCTTCGTTTTGATGTCTTCGTGGCAGCCATATCTGTCAGGGTCACTAACCGTACGTCCGCCCCTCCCGCTGTGCCCCATCCAGGAAGACGGCATCTTCCAACACGACTGACTTTACTGGTGGGGGCTTCCATGGATTGATCGTTCGTGGGTCGTCCCCATTCGACACAAGACTGGGCGAAGAGGAGTGCATGAGGTAAAAAGTCCTCTTGCATACGAGGTATCCAGTAAAACCAGCGTATTATGTGAACCGTGACCAGCCGGTCTATCGATTTTGGAATACACTCCCTCGAAAACCATCAGGCGTACTTCAGAAACTGTTGTTCTCACCAAGCTCTCACGCAACGTTTCTGAGTCTTCTGCTGTAAAACACAGTGCCTTCGAAGGTCTTCCACATGCAGCAGCTTCGTCTCCCATTCACAAAGTAGGGCATATAAGACTGCGGCACTGCACACTCCACCCTTGACTTTTAAGCTGTCACATTGGCGCTACAAATGTCGGAGGTTGGCAAACGCTCACCTAGCCTTCAAATTCGGAAAGTGGTTTCATATCTCGGCGGTCCACCGGGACTTAAACACTACCCAGGTAAGCGAACTCATCTACTACATCGATTGGTTCATTTGCGCGCTAGGCGGAATTCCGCAACGATACCGCCTTACCATTTACAGGTGGGCGCTGCTACGGCCAAGAAGCATATCATGCACGCTATTAGCCGAAAGATCGGACCGCCTGCCGATTCAGCATCAAAGTGAGGTTTATTTGGCCACAAGTCTGGACCCAACAGCCAATCGTGATCCGGTGTTAGCCGAATACCGGTTACCAGCAGCGCATCCGGAAGGCGTTAGGATTTCCAGAATATTGTCGCCTCATACATTGTATAAACGACGCGCTGTACATGTGTTTTCGGGTGCTATAATACACATTGTACACATTTGGTGGTTGTTTTGACGGGAACACAGGGTTGGAAGCTTCAGACCAAGAACTAAGCTAATACAATACTGTTATTACACTGTAATACAGCCCATCACTGCGTTGCTGTCCGGTTTAGTCTGGTTACTTTACAGTGGTATTGATGTAGTTGTTTCCATTTTCGGGTGACTACCTTGGTTTCACATCTTTGGCAGTCGTTTTAGCGAAGAACAACGGTGTAGAGGTGAATTTTTCGGTCTTACGTGATTTCGGTGGGGATGAGTTCGTCCACCAGGCCATAGTCTACAATAAACAGATGAGTAGCCCATCTTAGAGGCTGTCTCTTCGAGAGATCAGTGTGTGAATTGCTTACATTCTGACCTAATTTACTCTGTTTTCGTCCGTTTTCAGGTTGGATGAGCAGGCCTCCTGTTTGTCATTACTATCAGGCAGGAAACTGCCTAAATGGAGATTCTTGTCGGTTTTCACATCCGACCGTAAAATGTCGCACCTTCGCATCAACTGGTTGGTGTCCATATGGATATAGCTGTCATTTTTGGCACGACCCATCGCGAAGACAGGCCGCGCCACCAACAATTCAGCGAAAAATATGTCAATTTTTCATCAACAACCAATGTAAGTATGGTGACAAGTGCTCATTCTCACATGATTTGGAGGCTGAGAACAGCTCTGGTTTGACGCTTGAGGAGTACCGGGCTCAGAAGAAATTATCACAACTTAGTCTCGCAAACCAACCCAGACTCTTCCCCAAAAAGTTGTCGAATAACCACTTATTTTGTGCAAGTCCAGCGAGTGTGCTCCGGGCCTCAAACAGCAGTTTGTTTTCCTGTGGCAAATCTGCAGCAAGTGAACGGTCGCCGGTCATATCAAGAGCTCCTGTACCGAGGCCTGATAGGGCCGCGAACCAAGTCAGGTTAGAAAATATAACCCAGGCTGAGATAGACCGTTTGCAATGTACGGAAGTGGCACGTTTTGAAAAGGGAGTCTCCGCGGATAGACTCCGGGAAGTGGACGCTGACAAAACGGGGAGGACTTTCCACTTACGGTTTTCCTCCACGGACCCCGATTGGGTGAGTTCTTAGTGGAACATCATCATCATCATCATTATGGGCAGCATAACATCAGTGTCCAACACTGATGCTTCGCTGTCATGCACCAGGTCGCCATTACCACCTTACTTACAGGCTTGCTAATTCTGGTTAAAATTTAATCCAATCAGGATTCACTGTACACTCCTCCTATGTAGTCGACATTCAAACTGGTAATCGACAGAAAATACAGTATTGTGATTGCAACAACCATCCAAAACAAAAACAAGAACACACACGGGCTGACAGATAACGAACCTCTTCACTGCATGAGATTGGCCTGTGGCATGAATAGTTCCATATTCAAAACGGAATAAATAACTTGCACAGTGAACTGGTGCAAAGCGTAGTCGATACTTTCGGGTCATACTGTGAGCCCCACGTAGGACTAAGCCAGCGCATTCAGTAGATCGCATCTAACATTTATAGCATAACTGCTGCTGAACTCTGGGTAGCCTTTGCACTAGAATCCGACCGAAGAACATGCAAAGAGGTTAATTCGGCTTTCACTTTTACGTCGCTTGTAGTAAAAGGTACCGAATTCCCATAACATACGCTTCGGCTACTGACTTGAGTTGCGTTATCGTTTAAATTAGTTGGTACGTTATTTGATACATTCCTATTCAGGGCATAATTGCATTTGACGTAGTTCAACTAGAAATACGTTACTTAAATTCCGGCGGGGAAACCTTATCGAAATGCGCCTTACGAACTTTTGGGCACTTAACCAAATCGGAAGACAGATCCCTCAACGGCGGTTCATTTGGAGGTGTGATCATGAAAACCACGACGAACGTCTGTCTCAGCGAGTAGCCCGTAACCGTTTGTTACACTTGAAGCAAGGCTTTTCAACACACGAAGTGCATTATTGTGGATAACAAAAGGCAGAAGGCGTTTAAGCGTGGTCTGATGTTTTTCACCCTTCAGACCAACTTGGCATTACAGTTCGAAGCCTTTAAAATGTATCACTAAAATTGCGTTTGCATTCTGTTCACGGCATGCGGTGTATTATTCGGATAGGCCTCGGTTTGAATCTTTCCTTTCCATTGTGACCAAAAGTAGTAGCTTCCTGAGAATCAAAGTTCTATCATATATGGGAAATGATGTAAATCTTTCGTAGATCCGACATGACATCCTCGTCTTTTTTTTTCAACTGATGTTTTCGTGTGTTTCGTATCTGTTAAATGTGTTGGATGGACTGGATGACCACTGGATAGATGACCATTTTTAGGTCAATTGAGTGTAAGTTACGGGAGTAAAATAGTCACGTTTTCGCCCATTAATCGAACGGCCTTTTTGTGACTCCTCAACTGCTGGTCGTACTTCCTCGTCTTTTTTTTCAACTGATGTTTTCGTGTGTTTCGTATCTGTTAACTGTGTTGGATGGATTGGATGACCACTGGATAGATGACCATTTTTAGGTCAATTGAGTGTAAGTTACGGGAGTAAAATAGTCACGTTTTCGCCCATTAATCGAACGGCCTTTTTGTGACTCCTCAACTGCTGGTCGTACTATATTCACCGCTGTAACTTGCGGTATCCTTTCTGTTACGACTTGACAGGTTTACGATGTGCGCGAAATCGTGTTGAGCATTCATTTTGATCCAATGTACCCTGTGCAACCGCTGAAAGTTTGTGTTCTACCCATGGAATGCCTGCCGGCGATTCTTGTTGAGTGAGTGATAAAACGTTATCGTGGTCTCACCATCGGTCCATCTTTCAGACATTTGAATAACACCATTTCATCTTGGATTTCTTGTCGGCACAAGCGAAACCAGTTAGAAAACATGGCAGAACTTTATCTTCAGCAGTTTTTCCGTTGGCTCGACCGAAGCTTGGAACACCTTTTCACCGGAGGATTAAGAAAAGTATGTTATTTTATTTTGTGATTGACTGAATGCGATGACTAAACGTTTGTGAAAAGTTCAGATGTCTTGCCAGTTGTGCTATCTGTGCTCACTCTCTTTGATGGCGACTAACGCTCCATAGTTCCGGTTTCGCATGTCTTAATATTGCATGCTCCTTTGGGGCAATATACTGCGAGGATTCAGACCCTTTCCTAGTACTACCCTTCCGCAGTTGACGGACCGAAGCGGTTCTACTTTTCTAAATCAACCCCTCAGTTCATATTAACCAGTGTATAGGTTCGATTCTAATACAACTTTTTGGGCAAAAATGCCTAATGACACTTTCGCTTAGTTAGTCCTTTTTCGAAGGACTGCTTTCAAGGTCTGCCACAAATGATCGTAACACTCGAGTGGAGTTTCCAGTACGTTAGTCCTCTGGAAAGCGAAACCCTCAAGGGGGACTGGGAGAAGCACCTGTTCATACCCTGCAACTATATTTACTAGACAGCTCATATTAAACCTTTATGAAGAAATAATATCGGTCGCGTGTGGTCAGCGTTTATGACCATATTCTGATGTAAGACCCACCACAGTTTTTCTACGCAATCCAATTGTTTTCATGTCGGATAGCAATCTTGAGTTCCAACTTTCAAGTAGTTTTCATTTTAACCTTATTCATCTGCCGTACTTTAGATCTTGGTTCACAATATTGATGTGTATGACTTCGAAACAGCGTGCTCACCTCTCGGATTGATTGATGGAACCGGTTAGCAATGCAGCTGCCACTGATAGCTGATCACCAATGTAGCTGATGCCCAATCGGTAGTTATTTTCNACACTCAATTACCTCACTCTTTCCCGTAACATCACGTGTTAGTGACGCGTGAACTACCAACAGGGTGTGATATCATCAACCGTCATTCGTTCTGCTTCGAAAAGCTGCAACCTCTTGACCCCGCTCATTAGTCACATTTGCGTGAGTGTCTCATTCCCTCGTTTCTCTTACTTTCCACCACTCGATGGTCAGTTAGTTATGCAAATGGTGTTAGTGACAACAGAAGAACCACTGTTCTACAGTCCACTTACAGTTCCGTGCTTTCTCTTGTTAGGCTATTCCTACATTGTTCGCTTAGAACACTGTGACAAGTGTTGTCCGAATCCGATAATGTCTATAATCCAGCAGTCTTTTTTATACAAAATTGTTGGTGACACTCCTGTCGCTGAAGCCAGACCCTAAACACTCACCTCGTCTTATTTTCATCACTGTAGTTACTCTTAAAATTCCTGTAGTGAAATAGAACAAACGACAAAACTAGCTTTTCGGAGATGCACTGTTCTCATTGCTTTTTATACGTTATATATTTTCTGATGAGAAGATATATCATCTTTCCACATTTATCATGACCCTTCCTGTTTCGTAACTGTTTTTAGTATAAAGCACAACTTAACGGCAGCACCAGGGAAAGAACAAGTTCCAGCGCTTCAATTATACCTCAGGTTTCTCCCACACGCGCCACTTCCAGTCCTGTATCAAATGAAGTAAGACCTGACGAGGGCTGCGACAGATTAGGGTTTCATTACGATAGTTCAGAGTCGGAAGACCCTGGTGACGGTGATTCGAACTCCACCAGTGAATTATCAGACTCCAGCCGAAGTTTCGACGAGGGGGTGGATCTAGACTTAAATCCAGGTGACAACTGTTCGGAACCCTACTGTACTGATTCGCAAGTCTGTGTTTCGCAGCTAGCCAACGAAGTTAATAACGCTAGCGAAAGTCAACGTGTTTCAGATTGCGCTTCGGATGTCGCAATCAAAGGCACGCAAACTGTACATTTGGACGATTTGAAATTGAATGGTAAAGCTGGCACGCTAATCCAACGACGATTGCCAGCTACTCTGCACTGCGTACGTTGCTGCTTAACATTCTCGTGGATTTTCAACTTGCATGGTGATCCGTTTACCGCTGACGGGCTTGCTGTTACACGGTTACGATCCCTTCCACCGCACAGTGTCTTTTGTGCTCGCTGCAAAAACTCAATGAAGCTGGTCTTCCAAGCCGCCGTAGCGCACACCTTCGGTTCATGCGTCGGGACGTTACACTTAGATGGATGTGTCGCAGACGACATACCATCCAAAGATTCCGAACTGGTTGTACTCTGTACAGAGTGTAACAAAGTTGTCAAGTTAACGGTGAGTTTCTTGTGTCTTTTAGTTCCGCTTGTCAACATCCTCCGCTGAGCTTTCACCCATTGACGGTCCGTGGGGTGGTTTTTGACCCAACCGAATAATGTGCAGGAGATATATTCTGAATCACGCGAAGCACTCCGCGTGATTTTTCTCTTGTGACTCTCCACTGACTTGTAAGCTTGCCCGGAACGTTAAATTCTGGTCACCAATCTACGATTGCCCTTGATCGGAAATTCGGAGTTTCCATAGAACTTAAATCAATGTACCAAACAGATTCACTTCCAAGGTTCAAAGTGCCCTCAGAATGCGACGATGTTCAGTAACCCCGGTAATGGCGATACTAGTTGCCTCCTCAAACCCTGTTGGCAGAGTGATGCTCCTGATATTGAGTTGAAGTGCCGTGGATGTAGACGTCCATTTAAAGTAGTGGACATGGGCCTTGGAATGGTGTAATTCTTCGCGAGACTCAGCATAGTTTTTCGGCTTAAAACCATTTTTACTGAAAGGCGACTAGCGCAACACAAAAAAAACTGGTCACACTGGTGAGATACCCGATTAGGTTTATACATTACTAGTCCTCTGAATAAGGTACTTGAATCTACAATCGAAACCAGATCTGAAGCAATCAGTTCACTCTACACTTAGGAACTCTTCAGGCATGAATCATAAACATACGTTTGTACTCCACGCATGACTGAGCTGGTTATCTAAAGAAAATGAGCCGAATCGAGTCCATGAGTTACCAAGTGGTCGTTTCGTTCGACAGAGACATGGAATTTCTAGGAAATGTGACAGCAATACGTAAATGAAAAGGCCGTTATCTTAGTGGACGTTTTAAGCTAGGTTTATCAATGAACTTGGTCTGACCAAGAGAACAGGTACAAACGGTGGAAACGGTACAGCGGTATGTGAAAATTGTGCGGCTACAAACTCATCTCAGGTGAGATAGGTCGAAAATATGGATAGCGTGAAAATGTGAGAACTAATCATCAGACCCCGCGAGCAGGATAGTTGGATGGTGCATTCCTAATCTTATAGAAGCATGAATCAGTTACGTATATCATCCTTATTGTCCTGATCAGCTTAGAATTACTAGTGCTCAACTTCCATGCAAAAGGGTGATCATTAGTTGGAACGAGAAACGACGCGAAGTGTGGTTCTGAAGAAGGAGTACAGGCGTCAGCAGTAGCAGAGTTTCATTTATCCGTCCTGTTGTGTGCAAAAAGTGAAGCGTCTAGGCAGGTTTCATCACACAACAGCCAAGTTATTATGAGATTCCTTTTGTTCGTATAATCGATTCTTGTGCGCTAGCTGGGGTACTGGTAAGGTGTTCGCTTGTGTACGGAAGCATAATTAGGTCCTCAAAAAGCTATGGTCGGCGTAGGGTGTTATAATTTTTATAGGATACTTCAGCACACGTGTTCCGCCCCGAGCCCGAAGGAGGCTATGTTCGTCCAACCTCTACCTACCGAAACTGTGAGTGGCTCAATGGACATTCGAGATACGCAGATGGTGGCAGTGTGAGAATTTCCACTGCCTTCAAGACAAATTGGGACGTCCTTCATGGTAGCCTTTTTTAGTGTTGTGAGTTTTAGCTGCGGTGCATTTTCGGTATATGGGCTTCAAGCGACCTGAAGGAAACCCAAGCTGAGATACTTGAGCACTTGAAACAGCAGGGTTAGATTTGGACCAAACGCTCTGGTTTTCTTCTACGAGCTATTTTTGACATCACAAACGAACTCAATAGGTTTAACGCTGGAAACGTCACAGAGTTGACATTGGTTAAGAATTAGGCGCAAATCACGAGGCTAGTACACAAGCACAACTACCAAGTTAATATTTGTTTATTCAGAAGTAAGTATACATTGCACTTCACATTATGATAAAAAGTGATAGGGTCAGCAGAATGTACTGAGATGTTTTCGGAATTCCTATCGCTCGAATGTAGTGATGCGATGTCAGTGGACGATAATGACATTTAGGCTTGGACCACATCAGGACCAAACTTCCTGAAATATTAAGTGACAGAGATAGGAAACTGATCCAGTTCACTAAACGTAGGGTTCGCCTCTGTTCTGTCGCTGTGAACAACGTAGTTTTAGGGGTTGTCGACAAACACACTCATTTGCATATCAACTTAGTTTTCATGAGAGATTCGTTTATTCTCTCGTTTATGGTAGTATTCAATTGCTGCATAGGGGCCGCCTCATGTTTAAGTCGGCACGATATTGGAGATATCGCAGTATATTTGAATAAAGGAACCACTCACAAGGTTGCTAAAAGTTTTCAGCAGCCTTGCGGACAGTTTCCTTTATGAAAATGACCGCTGCCCTCCGTCTAACCATCCACACTTGTCCAGGGAGTACGAAACTGCTGGTGCATCTGCTTCTGATGATGATCAACTTCGTGCCTTTTCAGTGTTAGCACATGAAAATTAACAAATTCATGAGTAAACAACACACGGGAGATTCAACAGAGTTTCGGTAATGGGCGTTTACGCTCTACCAGTTCGAACCAAATTCAACACGGTAACTGATAGAACGAACGGTCCCATTGATCAGATTTGCCTCGGTTGTTACTGTTGTCATCTCTGAAGCAACGACACTGTAACCAAACATATTCATCGTGATTTGGTTGTCCACAACAATCTGTGGCGTCATATTCCATCTGTTTATATTATTACGGAGGCCAAACGCACAAAAACCGCGTTACATAGCGCTAACGGAGTCTCTTGTCTGGATACCTGAATTTGAAACTGTGGGACCTGGACGATAGCTCAGCTGGCGTGTTTTAGATAAGATAGTGATTCACAACTTAGCCAATCATGGAATCAACAAATTCTCCTGGTGAGGTTTGCGATTAAGTAGGTTAGAACTTGAAACAGGGTGCGGGTATCTAACATATCGCGAACCGACTGCGAGCGTGTGGAACCGCCGACCACTTGTGTACTACGAAAACGGTTGCAACACAAGAAAGGTTAGTGACCGCTGTTTTGGAGAGTCCGTTCCTGTTGTGCACAACCTTTCTCTCTCCTTTCCCGCCTATCACGTTTCACCAGTGAAGCATCTAGTTAGCTGGGGCAAACTGTTACCTCACTTGAGATGCTGTTTTCTTATTCTCACTGAGAGTGGCAAAGAAGTCTACATCCACCTGAACACTACTTTCGGCTTATTACCTGAGGTTACCCACCCTTATTGGCCGGTAATGCACTGCAGTCATTGCCATCAGTTGCGAACTGTGTATATTTTTTACACTGCTTCTAGACACCTTTCTTGCGTTGATTAATCTCGTAAATGGCAGTGGATGCCTACGCATTGAATGCAGCCGCTTGTATGTACGTATGTGAACACATGAACAATGAACTGCGTTTGTTACTAGCCCTGTGGTCGTGAGAATTTAGTTTGTTTGGTGTTTGCATGCTTTTGACCCATTTGATCAAATTCTCTGGTAGATTGTGTTCAGAGCGGGCTACTGGATTTATTCTTCCATTCCCATTATTCCCATGTATAGGGTGTACAAGCTGCGCGACCAACAAACAAGTATTGCTTCACATGCCACTCGCTTATAGGGGTGGAGTTTAGCAAGTTTCGATTGGAATCAATCAAAGGAGCTTCTTCCCTTGGTATGTTTCTTGTAAGCATCTGCGTTGTTTTCGCTTGCACATAGTTGGTATCAGCTTTTTCAACAGAAGTCCTTCACTTATTATCTTGCTATAACCGTCAGAATAAATTTTAGCCGTAACGATCATGGTAACGCTTTTGTAGCCCATTAAGAGACAGTATTCGCATAGCGCGGCAGTTAGGCACCGAAATGGTGTTGCAGCTGGACGATTATTTATTTATTTATTACGTAAGCGATGGAAAAATCACACGACTCTTTTGGGTCTTTTGTCCGAGGAGTCACCACTCAATAAGTCATTCATCGCTGGGCTGGTGGCGCTTTCTCCTGTGTTCACAAACCACTGGCATACAGGCCATCTGCCGGCCAGTTAATCGCGAGTTCGAATCCTTTCAGTGATTCGTGCGGTGCGCGTTGCTAGTAAATCGAGATATTATGAAACAGTTGTACAGCGCTTCTCGACCTTTGAGCCTAAATCAGATTAGTTTACAAAATCAAATCTTATTTGAAACTTCAAAATTTCGCTATTCGTTACAAACAAGTCTCGAGATAGATCAGTGATTAAGGCACGAACCGGAGCATGCATGGTTCGAACCCAACCTCTGCATCTCGACTGCCCCTGTCTAGGCCCGGGCAATCTCAGCCCCCGTGCTTTCTTCGAAGCAGCCAGACACAAAACGGTGTTACAGCTGAGCGATTGTTATTTATTACTGCCACACCACATTTCAGTTACTGTGATAATATGCTGGACGATAAAGTACTCTACAGTGTGCCCCAAAAATCTCTTGGTGGTGAGGTCCTTCAAGCATATCAGCCTGTGTATGCACAACGTTTACTTCATTTCCATCTAAAGTCTGTGGAATGATTTTCATAAAGGACACACGATGGGTAGTTTAGAGGCTTCTGCATAGAATTCATCATAGACTCCATGGTAAGCAATCTGACTGATTCTATGTGGCTTCGAATGCATTCCAGGCATAATGACTTCGAACAAATTAAGTCAGCTACTTAGCGTGAGGGGAGGGTGTGATAAAACTCAGTGGCTTTGCCACAGACAGTCGTATGGGTTTTCCCGATCGGTAAGATCAACCGAGGTATTGGTGAGCCAACTCGCTGTGCTTGGGTGTACAGTAAAACCTATTATTAAAAACTATCGCTTCAGCGAGCGGGGAGCCGCAAAGAGTGAATAAAAACTACGTATGTGCTTCCTTTAAGTCGGAAGAGATACAGTGTAGCTGGTCATTGTAGAGGGTCGCAGAGTGAATTCGGAAGTGTCGCAGCAACCAGTGTAAAACTGAGACACTCTTTGAGCGGATGCGATCCGAATAAAGGATTACTGAGGTAAAGTCAACCTGTATTAACAGAACTAGTTGATAACTTTCCTTTCAGGAAGTTGCCAATCTCGTTACACGTACTGTTTTTGAAATCCGCATTTCATGGGAGTCTTGCTCACTCCTCAGTGGGCATCAAAGGACTGTGATTTAGCGTTGAATCGCTGCTGGACCTTTTACCCGTACGCTATGCACTTCCTCATGCTACAGTTTCAAAGACTTCCTCACTATGGTGTCAACTGTTGGATTTTTAATTTTCGTCCTTTCGATCCCCGTGAAAACAGCCTTGATGACTAGTTTCCTGTCTATTCTGCTCAAACAGTGGTTCATGCCAAACAGTCAGATGGCGACCGATCTAAAGATGCTCCGGGTGTTTCTCGAAGGCAGCGTCGTCTCGCGAATGTGGCACAGAACCCACTAATTCAAGATGGTACTCCTCTGCCAGATTATGGCTGTTGCAAACATTATCGGAAAAGTTACCGATGGCTAAGGTTAGTTCATAACCATATTAGTTACACCTACTCTCGGTCCAAAGCTCTCGAATAAAGGTTGGTCTTATTCCAGGCTGAATACTCTCATCTCTCAGCGGGGACTACTATTTAGAGACGCAAAAGGTGGTCTCCGCGTGGGAGTAGTCTGTGTATGGAGGGCGAATCTCCTTATAAATGAAACATTCGTCCAACCTCATTCTGTCCATAGTGATCATTTGTTTATTATTTAATTAATCAAACGTCAATTATATTTATTCCACCTTGTACGTTTGTGCACGATGAACTATGCTCTCTACTGTACATCAGCACTTGCCGCATTTTTATGTTCTGTTCTCCCTGTAAACGTTCAAAAGAATGTAACCTTCACGACATGCTACTTTAGACAGGTATTGCGTCTGAAACGGCTGGTTACCAATACTTCAAGTGTCAGCACTATTCAGGGAAAATACTGGAAACCACTCCAGGACACAGTAGGATCGATGAGTAAAGAGCAGAGAATCAAATTAATGCCCACTTATATCTGGGCATTTCTGTTGTCGAGGCTTGTGGAAAAATCATTGCGGACCTGTTATCTCAGTTTGTTTCCTCACACTGTCACAATCTTACAAGGCTACTACTTTGGTTCAGGAAGCCGAGCTGACCTCACTTACAAGGCTACTACTTTGGTTCAGGAAGGTCAGGTTAAAAGAAGCCGAGCTGACCTCGTATGTGTTGGTCAGGTGAATGCACGGTACACTCTGGTCGTTCTCCTCGCTGAGCTGGGCAGTTTGGTTGCAAACGTTTGGTCACCAACCGAGGCGACATCATCAGTGCGTAGTGAGTTGGCAGTGCGCACTACGTGCCGGCTGACGAAAGTAAATGAACTGGCTATCTACCGTCGCATCCTGGCTATGCGTGCAGCCTTTGTGTCGGGTCTGGTGCATTTCCGATGGGTCGACGGTTCGCAGTCCATTTTGCATTATTTTTAACATATTTTAACAGGTCAGATTTGGCGCCTCACAATCGTGTATGGAAATTAGCATGGGAACGCCGCGCTTAAATAATTTTGAAAACACAAGTTGACGTAACGGTTTTCTCTTGGCCAGTTTCTGGATGTGCGGAGGAGATTTGAAAAAGGCTCAGTAATTGCTTCTGTTTGGTCTCCTTGCCTCAGTCCGTAACAAAGTTGAAAAACCTGACACAACAAGAAGTGGTTGGATTGTCACTTTTGTCCATATACCAAGGCCCGGGTCTCCGCGACTGACTGTGCTATGTTTATCTGTATCCCTTAGTTATCAGTCCAGCTCCGTCCAGTAGGCGTGGAATGTTCTTAAATAAGAACGAACGAAAGCGGAAAATTAGCGAGGTGCGTTGTCAGCTATCTCGCTACAAGCGAAATCCCAGTACAAGACGTGCTGAGGCGAAGATACTGAGTAAAATGCCAGTGAATAGGTGTCTTCACGTTCACGCCAGTGCGTTTAGTGACTAGATTTATCTATGGTTTCTACGTCACTATCACAAAATATACCGATTCAATCACGCACGAGGCAGGAAATTTTGTACGGACACTCGGATGCAAAATAGTCACACTTAAGCGTGGATGTTTGTTCAACTAACAAACTCACCATACATCTGCTGGTGAGTCGGCTGATATCCCGATATCTTCAACATGGGGCTTATCCTCGCACTTTGAACGAAAATGCAAGGGATATGCCTTTAAGGGATATATTCAGCTTCGATGAAACCGAGCCGCTTTCTCACGTTCTCCCAAAGCAGTCTTGTATTAAAAGGAACTAAATGCTGTGGCATCATCATCATCAACAGCGTGATATCAGTGTTCAACACCGATGCATCGCTGCCGTGTGTTGTGGCACTGAAGGAAGGATGACATTTTCACCTGCTCTTGGTGCGGAATTCGAGGTGATGTTGTTGGTGATTGAGAAAAGTAAGAACAGCAAGTTTTTTGGAGGACATAATGTCGATCTGAAAATTAGACATACAATCCGTAAGAAGGCTTGGTTGACCAGGGATATTTTCTCTGGATGGCGTAACCTCTTCAGTAGAAAAAGGAAGATGGAAAATATTATCTTTCTACTGAACAGCTGCACGAGTCCTTGTTCGAGCTAGTGTTCCTGTTGCCGAAATAATCATATGGCGTTCGAACGTTGAATGTGAGTACCGTTCAGACCGTGATGGGGGGCGGGAAGTATCTTCTGAGCCAACGTGACACATTCCGTTGACACGGTAGGTCGAACTGCAGTGAGTAGGACAAAATTAATTTTGCACTTCCAGTTGCCAGATTCGTATTTATTATGTAGGGCGCTGCATGCCTTGGTCTTGGGACGCAGTACGGACTTTGACCAGTGCTGTGCTCAATAAAAGTTAGTTCCCCTATTTCTTCGGGTATCCGTACAAACGTACAAACATTTTTTATGCTTGTACTAGTTGGATGTTCAGTGTCGGGATATACGACATGCTTGCTTATCTGTCCTTTTTCAAAGGCGGATGTTCCATATGTTGACGATTCTGAGTGGGAAAGCGGGGGTACCGTTAACCAGAATGAGTAACTCCCGGAAAGGGGAAACATTATGGTGACGGATAGTTTAGTAAGTAGGATAGTCGAGGTCCTTCTTGCTGAGAAGTGCTGGCTTGTTGCCATTGTTCACGGACTTCCGATAAGATCTCACCAAGTTACCAGATCTGTGAATTAAGCAGGAAACTCTTGCTGATCATTTGATTAGTAAGTGACGACATCTGACTTACTGAAAAAAGCACCTGAAAATGGACCGTTGGCGAACGTGGCGATCACTATTTAGAGAGACTATTTTCGTAGCTCGAGGAGCGGAACCCTGACATTCAAGGGGAAGTACTACAGAGGGTTAGTACGTGAGTTGCGAACGTTTATTAGTTGTTGGTTCATTTGCTGAGATTACGGTTGAGTGCGGTTTCAGACGCTTGGTCAGCACTTGAAGTATCACCAATGTGCATCACCAACGTCCATAATGTCTCCTCTGCTAGTGACAAGGCACGTGCAATCCATTAGGCATCCCCCTTTAGAAAAGACAAAAAACTGTTGGTGTTCAGCGCTGTTGCAATCTAATTCTAGCAATTTTCTTATTTTCTTCCTTCCAGATTTCCATGTTGCGGTCGCTTGGACCCCTGTGACGTGTGTCACGACGAAGCAGTCACAGATGGTCACGAAATGGAACTGGCTACGCGTATGGTCTGCGGTTTTTGCTCAAAGGAACAAGCGTTCTCTAACACAAAGCCCTGTGTCCGATGTGGAAAACAGCTGACTGGCTCACGCTCGGCCCATTGGGAGGGAGGTAAAGGGTGTCGAAACAGATTCACGATGTCTCGAAAGGATGTGAAAAAGTATTCCCAGATGAACAAAACCGTTTCGCGAAACAAATCCAAACCATGTTGACTTATTTTATCGAAGCTCCCTGTGATCTCCGCTCCTTTGCCTTGACTGACGAAAGAATCAACAAATGCAACCTTTCTGGGGTTAACAAGGTCACATTCATCATTGACACCTAAACTGCGCCATTTTTTCTATGTTTCGAACGAATGAATGATTCGGATTTTTACTTATGAGACTTCAGGCTTTGTAGGAACCTAAGAGTGATCTCGTTCCATTTGACCAGATTCGCTTTACTTTGCGTAAAAACCATATTTGTGAAAGCTTGCTAGAAAGCGTTGTGAATAAAAAGCCTTGAACTAAGATGCCGATCGCCGCGGAATATTCCAGGAAACATTTCTATCTCGGAGACATTTTTGGTGACACTGCAAACAAGTTCCGTAAGCGAGTTTTTATTTCCCCAAATGTCGTATGTGCACCCTAAAATTCTGAACCGTAATGAGCATACCCTATGCAGGTGACTTAGATT